CGAAGAGTATTAAATGCTGTGAGTAGAGCTTGTGGTCTGCCACTGCATGAGCTCGCTAATACTATAGTCGAGAGGCATATAAATTCCTGTACGAAATGGGCAAAGGCTATAATGTCAGACCCTCTGCACCCCCTTTATTCACACCTGTCCCCTTGTATATCATCAGGTAGGATGAGAAGTCAATATAAAAAGATATATGCTCGTACTACTAAGTATAGAAATTCTACAATACCTTATTTAGCGCGTACTTAATGTGACGAAGACTCTGTTAGACGTGAAACTTACAAGTTACTATGTAATTAGCACAGTGAATCGACCCTTTTATCGTTCATCTTTCTGTATTTTATGGTGTTACACTTTCTATCGTTTAAATCGTTACTCTGCTATTTTATATTAGTTGGTATTACTATTATTACTACAATTTTGTACTTTATACATATTTTTCTCCGTATGGCACACAGTATTTTGCTACGTAGCTGCTACAACAATCGTTTTATTACTATTATGTATTGTGTATTTTTAATTTTTTTTTGTCGTTTTTGAGTAAATTAGATGCAATATTGTATTGAATGCTGAAAATTCCTTGCTGTATCATGAGTACTGTTTTTGAATAAAGCAATTATTATTATTAATACCTGATGAGATACAAAGGGATAGTTTTGAATAAACGGGGTGCAGAGGTCTTACAATACAGCCTATGCCCATTTTGTACAGGAATTTATGTGTCTCTCGACTATGGTATTGGCGAGCTCACGCAGTGAAAGACCACAAGCCCTACTCACAGCATTTAATACTCTTCGTAATATGATATAGTCCTTTTTGAGAAGCCCAGGAAAGATTAATGGAGAGCAGTAGAGTACAATAGGTAAAATACAGGAGTTTAAAAATTGCAAAAATAAAGGTTGGTTGATACCTGATCGTTTTAAATTTTTAATGTAGAAGGTATGACGAAACATTTTCTTAGAGATAGATAAGATGTGGAATGACCAGAAAAGAAGCATTAAAAATATTAGTAAGAGGATAACACAAAATATCAGCACAATTCCTGAGAACAATGGCAAGTGCGCCATCAGGACCAAGGCTTTGAGAAGGCTTAAGAGACCGCACACATTTAAGCACATCAAGGGCATTAAAATCACCAAAATTATTGTCTTTATGATTTGTATCATTAGGAAGGATATCAACAGAAGAGCGTATGAAAGATTTATTAAGAGTGTCAACATTAAGAGATGGAACAGAAATACATCGCTTACCGTTAGTAATTTCTTTGAAAAGTTTCCACAAATTAGAAGGAGTTTTACATGACAAAAATCTTTGATTATATAAAACACTTAGTCTTTTTATTTCCAGTTTTATCAGCATGTTTAACTTTTTTACACCAGGCTTATCATTAGTTTTGAACAACAGTTCTTTATTTCTACGTAGCTTTTTGAGATATGGAGAAGAGAAACGATCAAATCGAATGAATAATGTTTCTTTAGGACAACATATTTCGAAACAGGATTTAAGATAATTGGTAGTGTTTGTGATTGTGTCATCCAATGTTTTTTCTGTAAATAAGTCCCAGTTAGTGTCTTTCAACATGCATCTGAGCTTGTCTAGGTTGTCTTTTGAGTAGCATCTCCGTTGAACTTTACTGTAGAGGTAAGAGAGGACACATTTGTGTGATTTGGAATATATTTTAGGCAGCACACGTATGATGCAGTGGTCAGAATTAAGTAGAGGAGCACGTTAGCGAGCTTCATATATACTAACATCATTGATAAATACCAGGTCCAGTGTTTTACCAAGACGGGTAGCAAAGTTGACAATATTGTCATGACAAAGTGATATAAGGAAGGAGCAATCGCTAGCATTGAAGTCGCCAGTTACTATTGATAAGGAGTTATTGAAACAACCTGCAGCAAAAGCGGTGAATTCATCGGCGAACATAGATAAATCCAATATGGTACAGCCAGGAGAGACATAAACATTAGAAATATAAATGAATTTGTATTTTGAAATGTGTTTCGGGCGACATCTCACAGTGATGCAACCAATGAAATCATTCGAGAATTTGAAACAAACTTTGTTAGAACTGGACCATGTCAATTTAGTTGAAGATTGAACGATCAATTCATGTTTGTTTGCTCAATAACAACTTCCACAATTTTCGCGGAGGCGTCAATACTACAGTCATCGTCTCATCGGTCGCTGTTCAGAAAGAGGTCAGGAGACAACTGTCAGAAGTAATATTGTGATTTATTATTGTAATATTTTTTCACAGACCTTAGTCGTAAGATTGTTTATATGTTGGTGTATCAATAAAGAATCCTCGAGTCAACAATTGGTGTTTCGGTTTTTTCGTCCGTTATTACTAAGCGTTTCTGAGAAACTTCAAGGGACAGCGTGAGCCCGAGCGTAGCAAGATCTGGGCATTAACGGTTTACGAGATGCGGCTGACAGTTTCTGACGGTAGAAACAGATTCTGGCGGATTTATACAGTTGGTGAATGTTTGGATAGTCACCATTCATCTTTCCTGGTGCCGGCCAAGTCCTCTTCGAACAAGCAATATCTGGAATTTTTTTGGAATTGGGTCAAGTTCAACAATGCCTGGGTCAAAGAAGGGACAGAGTGTCTTGGATGCAAACAGGAAAGTAAGTCATGGTGACTTGTCTGTCAATTGTAACGATGTGTCTGATGTTAAGCATGACATGGTTGATGTTACTGTTTCGCCGTTCAGGGATAATAGGAGCATCAAACTCCTTAAATTTGAACAACGGTGTTTCGATGGAAACCCGGCTGATTATTTACAATTTGTAAAGGAGTTTAAGATCAAGTGTAGTAATTTATTGTACTTGAAATATTAATATACCGGGATGACGGAATTATAGGAATCTAAACAAAACCCAGAGAGGGCAGAAATCAGGAATTTGTATTTAGCGGAATTAGAATGCAATTCATATATGAAACATATCAACAGTCAACAGTAAGTATTTTAAACAATACAGAGGTAGAAATTGTCAATCACCACATCCGCCACACCTCGAATATCTCCTCGCGTATTTATAACGATGTCTCGGTTTGCTTGCAAGTAGCTTCGACCTAACTGATTCTGTGATATTATTTCCATCAGTATTATCTGGACTTATTTCTGAATTATCTACAAAATGAGGATTATTAGCGGAATCAATAATATTATAATTGGAACGACCTACTTCATTTATTGTCACTTTGTCCAGGTGTCCGTTATGAACTGAGTGATCTTTGACGTCTAATATCTTCACCACTCGATTTCCCATTTTTTGTAGTATAATTCCAACAGGTCTATTGTTATTACCTTTGTAATAATGTACATTAGAAGTCGTGGACATCAGTTGCTTTTTGAGAATTCGAGATTTGAAAGGTTTCGCAGGACTTTCACGGTTGCTTGTATGTTCTGCATTCAACAGACTCAGTCTATGCATATGCAGCAATTGCTCTACTTTAATCAGTTGCTCTCTCATCTCATTCAGTTTTTACCGTGTTTTCGACAGTTCGCATTGTAACTCAGCTACCTCATTTTTGAAAACAGTGGATGCTTGAGTTTCCGAACTTGTAGTGGAGGTTTTCATTGGATTAGCTTGAGTATTTTGAAAAGTTGAAAGACACATTGACTCCATTTTACGAGACAGCTTGGGAGAATTATAAGAATGTTGAACAACATATGTATTCGAACTTCTGCAAACAGTCTTGATGTGTCCAACTTTACCACATTTATAACACTTAGCACCTCGAAAACGGCAAGTGCTTCGTAGATGTAACTTTCCACAAGAAAAACACGGTTTACTGTTTTTGATATCTCGCTGCATTCTGTTACCTGTGGACGGCAGTTTGGATTGCTTTCCATGACCACTTGTATTTTCGAATTTGGACAACATGACATCAGATACTGACGTAGTAGTGTAACAACAGAAGACAAGGGCCAGGCAACAGATCGTTTTATTATGAAAATCAACACGTATTTATACATATTTCAACTACATTATTATAGACAAGCGCAGTCATCTGATTGGTTGTTTAGGTAGACAAACGCAGGCTTCTGATTGGTTGTTTCGGGATTCCTTGACAAATAGAGTTCTCTATCTGCGAATCATATTTTGCCACGTTAACTTTGCTGTGATTGGTTGTTGACTCAGCCTTGTTCATATCTTCTCACGGCCCACATTAGTGACCTAGACCTTAACGTAGACTAGTGCCAACCAATCGGCTAGCAGCCTGCTCTCACCACACTCGTCCCCCCGTCAAATACGTGCGACTGAAGTCGGCTTGATCTACTTGGTGCAGGCGTCATCGTTGGCTTGTCTCGCTGTATCCATTTCTGGAGCTCGCTGACGTTCACGCGCCTCTTATTGTTCGCCATTGCGACTGTGTCTGCGTAACCCCATCTCGAAGTGACCATTTATGGTCCTTCCCACTTTGGAAACTGTTTGCCTGACCCTGTCGAACATTCGTCCATACTTCGGCCCACACCTTCATATGCTGCTTTCGCCCGACCTCCCAGCAGCGTCCCAAGTAGCAGCTCCATCGCTGACAGATCTTGAACGCCACTCAACTGCGCAGAAGCCTTGAAGTCCTGCCCGAAGATCCATATGTCTCCATCAAAAACTGCAGGGTATAGGCTTTTCATTTGTCGGTAGGCAGCGACACCAAATGTAACAACAGAAGACAAGGGCCAGGCAACAGATCGTTTTATTATGAAAATCAACACGTATTTATACATATTTCAACTACATTATTATAGACAAGCGCAGTCATCTGATTGGTTGTTTAGGTAGACAAACGCAGGCTTCTGATTGGTTGTTTCGGGATTCCTTGACAAATAGAGTTCTCTATCTGCGAATCATATTTTGCCACGTTAACTTTGCTGTGATTGGTTGTTGACTCAGCCTTGTTCATATCTTCTCACGGCCCACATTAGTGACCTAGACCTTAACGTAGATTAGTGCCAACCAATCGGCTAGCAGCCTGCTCTCACCACAGTAGGAGCAGAGTATTCACTGTTGACATCTTCATATGTAATGCATAGATCTTTAGCATTTTGAAAGGTACAAAAAGGAATCTGAATTAACTCTTTCTCCAACTTAGGAATATTGATTCCAGCAATTAGACGATCACGTAGTTGAGTATGCAGCTGATCTCCAAAATTACACTTTGAAGCTTGTATTTGGAGTTGAAGAATAAATTCTGGAATCTTCTGGTTGGGAGAACGTACCAGTTTGTTGAAGTGAGCCCTCTCTCTGGTCTCAAAAGTAGTTACATGGAAATGATCTATAAGAATTTCGCGGAGCTTAGCATATGGCAGAGAAATAGGTTTATCTGGAAATGACAAAGTCTTTAATAGGCTATACGCATCTAGCCCAATCGCAGTGATGAAATATGCTGGAATTTTATCATCCCGAACATTCTTGGAAATGCACCACGCATCGAAGCATTCCAAATAATCAGCAATCTCCCGCGGAGAACCATTAAGAGGAAATTTTCCCAGGTTACTTAGCTCCATCGCGACGCCAATTTGTAGTAATTTATTGTACTTGAAATATTAATATACCGGGATGACGGAATTATAGGAATCTAAACAAAACCCAGAGAGGTCAGCAATCAGGAATTTGTATTTAGCGGAATTAGAATGCAATTCATATATGAAACATATCAACAGTCAACAGTAAGTATTTTAAAAAATACAGAGGTAGAAATTGTCAATCACCACATCAAGGTAACGGCAGTCAACTTCAAGATGACTCCAAGGCACTTACTGAGTTTTTAGATAATCTTATGACTTATAAGAATACCTTGATTTCTATGAATTGCATGAGTGACCTCAACTCGAGTTTTATACTAGAAGTATTTGCAAGTCGCCTGCCTACTCGACTGCAAACGAAGTGGGTGAAGATGAGCTCCCGTATGGAGGATGAGGGTATCGAGCCAAGGTTTGATGATATCCTGAATCTGGTAAAAGATAGTGTCAATCAACCTATGAGCAAGTTTGCCAGTATATTGAACCTCACCCCTAGAATAGAGCAGTCTGAGGGTAAAACGCAATCTTTGATGACGAGTAGGCCTCAGAGAGGTGGATATCGAGAAGGCTCCATGATGTCTAGTAATGCATATAGATCTAGTGAGTGTAACAGGTTTCGTGGTACATCCTCAATAGATAAGTTACAAGACGCAAGACAAACACGGCTGTGTTTTACGCATTTGCAAGAGGTGCATACAAAGGTGGACTGTGAATCAGTGAGCAAGTCCAGGGATAAGATAAATGTGGAATCAAGAGCTGACTCCGAATTGTGTGACGATAACGGTGTGGTCAAGAAGTCTGTAGTTGCAACTGGTAAGCCATTGTTGAATAGTATGCCACAGAAGAGAGTTACAGTCTCAGAGGACAGTTCTGACTCCACAAGTTTACGAGGTATTACTAGTCAGAGTGAAGGTATAATATCTTTGAGGATTTGTGAGAAGGAACCAAAGTTGTCGACTTCTGTTATTAAAGAGTTCGAAATTGATGAAGTCGACCAGATAGATGATGGTAAATTGAATATTCGTGATAATGATCATGATACTTCGCAATTGTCTTTGGTTGTACATGATGGGATGAGGGGAATGCTAACTAGTGATAAGTTAATTAAAGGTTCTGTACAACTACAAGGTGAAGTAGAAATAAATGCAGATGCAGCTGGCATGCATACTTGTCAGACCGTCAGTGTGATTGATCAGCATGTAGCCCACCTATCATCAGATGCTATTGCTAAACCTGAGCTGATAGTAAAGGACAGCAGTGGTGTGGTCTTCCATGTGGACAAATTTCTGAAAGCCGAGCAACAACAGCTTTTGATCCAACGCTAAGTTTATCAACTGATATCAATCAGTCGTCGTTGGTGCTGTCATCCACAATGAAACAGACGCCCATCAACTCAAGTATCTTGTGCAATGACTTTGAGAGTATTGGTGCATTTGAAAAGACGAAAGATATTGCTCAGTTTAGTGAGAATAAGCCAAGTGTAAACGAGAGAGTAATTGTTAAATTGACTTGCATGAATAAAGGAATTTCTAGTTTCAAGTCACTATTTTAATGCTATGATCTTTGATGTAAATTACTCTGTGCCTACGCTTGCTTGACCAGATACGTCGTGTGTTTGTTCGTCATCTATATTCTGCGATACAATGATATGGGCGTGTTACCGTTCAGATTTGAGGATATAGCTGAAAGAAGGAAATCAGCATATGAACTCTGCAATGATTTTCCAAACTAGGGCGTCAACCTGAGAAGGGTTGTAGGCGTACTACTGTAAGTCCTACAATTCTTCAAAGGGTAGCGCATCAACGAGCAGTCCAATGTGCTTGGTGTGTGATTTTGTACATATGTTCATATTGTATATACTGAATTGATATCATATGTCATCTAGCTGTTGGTAATTCTCTTTGTGTCCGGACGACTTCCACTTGGTTCATCAACCTGAGAAAGAATGTAAGCGTACTGCTGTAATTCCTACAGTTCTTCAAGAGTAGTTCGTCAAGGCAGAATCCACCACATTTGATGTGTTGATTGTACATATGTTTGTGTTGAATAATTGTGTGAGTTCCAATTATTGTAATTGTTGGTTAATCTTGTTTGTGTCCGGACATTCCACAACTTACAATCGTCAACCTAAGAAAGGTTGTAGGCGTACTGGTGTAAGTCCTGCAATTCTTCAAAGGAATTTCATCAAGACATGATCCGTGAGGTTATTTGTACTGTTTTTGTATACGAATGGTGTGTCGTCTCAATTTGTGAATTTGGATTAATTGTGTTTACTCGTTGTTTTCGTACCTTGTTGTTATTGCGTAATTTTGTTAAAATTTTCGTCGTGATTACTTCTGAAGTTGTTTCGAGTCCTCTATATCCGTGAATGAATTGATTGATTTAAGAGACAGCAGATGGGTCGTATACGCCGGGGAGGCTATTTCTGAGAATGAAATGCATACGGAGATAATTGTTAGCTGTGGTCCCACACGCCGGGGAGAAAGAGTGTAAATGACTGAGGCTCGCATACGTCACCGTTACTAGAACTGAGGCAGAATGAGTGACAAGCTATTTCAGTGGTAATTGGTAGTGAGTAGATAAGAGGATGAGCGTAGAGTATCGTGAGGTGGTGCCATGGTCACGTTGCATTCTGCAAGAGTCATTCTAGCAAGTGGCGATTGTGTTGCAAGAGGGTGCCTTTAACTGGAAGGCGCAGGTCGTCATTGATGTGTGAGATTGTGCTGTGAGTATGCTTGTGGTGTGTTGGCTTTTCTGTTTCTTTTCCATTTCAGCTCTGTCCGTGTGACCCAGGTTCTCGCAATGGCATCCAAGTCAACGTGTATTTGTCGTGGTGGAAGAAAGGGATGGTTCGGTATTTTGCCGAGGAGTGTCAATGTAGTTGAAGATCGAACGATCAATTCATGGTTGTTTGCTCAAAACCAACTTCCCCAATTTTCGCGGAGGCGTCAATACGACAGTCATCGTCTCATCGGTCGCTGTTCAGAAAGAGGTCAGGAGAGAACTGTCAGAAGTAATATTGCGATTTATTATTGTAATATTTTTTCACAGACCTCAGTTGTAACATTGTTTATATGTTGGTGTATCAATAAAGAATCCTCGAGTCAACAATTGGTGTTTTGGTTTTTTCGTCCGTTATTACTAAGCGTTTCTGAGAAACTTCAAGGGACAGCGTGAGCCCGAGCGTAGCAAGAGTTGAGCATTAACGGTTAACGTGACGTGGCTGACAATACAAATTCTATGAATGCAAGGATACAGTAATAGTAGCACTTAAGTAGGCACCAATTTCAATGGAAAATTAAACGCGGAGAAGTTATATTTTGTGAAATAATAGGACTGAATTTTTAATACTATCCGTGACAGACCTATTAAAATGTCACCTGTAGAGTAAAAAACTGGGAAATGAAACGCTGTAACCGGCCACCAGCAGGCACACCGTAATGAAAGCAGAACACCAACTGCACAAGAAAGAGTTTATTCAGCGAAAATTGACTTTTAAAAGTGCGAGATACAGTTTTAGGAAATAACAGTTTTACCGAGCTTCATTATTGTTTATGTTCTGCGATTCTTGGTCCAGGAGGTTGACTTCCTGGTGTCTTCCTGCAAGTATAGAAAACAAAGCATTCATTAGTGTTTGTTTCTCTTACACTGCCCCCCTCCCTCTGGAGGCACTGTCCTGAGTGCCCAAGGATGGAATCGGGTAACCTCTACCTCCAACGGCTGGGACTTCATACCGACAGCTGGCGGGTGGTGGTTCATCATGAGAGGGCGGACTATCGGATGGAAAAAGGCGATACGGTTTGAGTTGGTTGTAGTGAGCAGGAATAATATCGTCATTCGGTTGCTGAATATTTTTCAGGAAGTAAGTGACGGGTGGACTCGTCCGCACGATTTCGAAGGGTCCGTGCCATGGGGAATAGAATTTTGCATTTGGTCCAGGAGGACAGTGAAGCCAAACGTGATCACCGACAGCATAATTTGGACCACGAGCGTAACGGTCATACACATTCTTCTGATGGTGACTTGAAAACTTTTGTTGCGTGCGCGCCAGATCTTTAGTGATTGCCAAACGGTTGTGTAGTTGCCGGAGCTAAGAGATATGGTCAATCTATTCAAAGGGTAAGGGAGGGACTTGGACTTCGACGGGAAGGCGTAATTCTTGGCCATACAAAAGTAACGCGGGTGAGAAACCCGTGGAGGAGTGCACGGAAGAATGGTAAGCTAGGAGACATTGAGACAGTGTCTCATCCCAAGCGTCAGTCGATCAGCGATCGAGGAAAGCACGTAGGATATTCTTGAGTGTCCGATCGATAAGTTCCACCAACCCATTTCCTTCTGGGTGGTAAGCAGTCGTGCGAGTCTTCCGAACGCCAAGCACGTTGCAGATGTAATGAACCAGTTGACTTTTGAAAGCGGCACCTTGATCCGAATGAAGTGAATGGGGGGCACCAAAACGAGTAATCCAATTGTCAATGAACACCTGGGCTACGCTATTTGCATCTTGCCGTTGTAAAGGTACTGCTTCACACCATTTTGTAAAGTAATCAATCATCACTAGGATATAGCGGTTACCTCTCTTGGTAGTTGGGAATGTCCCCATTATGTCGATCCCGATGCGCTGGTTTGGCGCTTCCATTAGCATAGGTTCGAGTGGTGCTCTAGGCGTTTGCGTACGCTGTCTGTTACGGTTACAGAAGTCACAATTTTTACAAAACTCGAATACATCTCGGTGAAGTAACGGCCACCAGAAAGGTTGACGGATTGCGTGTTCAGTTTTGTGTTGACCAGCATGCACAAGTTGATGGTGTACTTGGCTAATGAGCTCCTGTACTTTGGCGCCTGGAACAAGGAGTCGGGGGTAAGAATTCGGTTCCACTATGTAGAGGACATCATCATTTAGACGGAGGAGACCTCACTTACCACAGATGCTCTTCGTAGCTCCTGGCAGGTCTTGTAATTCTTTGGCCGCGGTTTATTGTTCCCGT